TCCCCCAGCCCACTGGGAGGGTCCCCAACACTGGGCCTGGAATGTAGGGGCCCTCTGTAGGTATTCACAGGGGGGATTGTACCAGGCCCTGTGCCAAGCTCTTGGCACGGTCTATGTACTAGTCCTGGCCTGTGGGTTTGACAACGGGGCGCCACTCTCCAATATCGCCATGTCCTGGTTCCAAATGAGGCATCTGGCAGGAAGGCAGAGAACTGATCTCTGGGCTTATCAACCCGTGTCCCCACGTCTTCCATGCCGCCTTCCCCAGGCCAGGGCTGGTCGGAACTGACCAGCGAGAAGGTTCAGCTCAGGGCATGGGGGAAACCTGACCCCAGAAGCCCAGCCTGGACCCCTAACAAAGTCACCTCACCTTGTGGCCTATCTTCCTTAATGCAACATACGCATTATATGCAACATACCATAGCCCCTCGGGGAAAGGTGGGTGCTGAGGGGGGTGTGCTCAGTCCCCTCTGCCCCAAGGACACATGGGGGCGGTTGTGGGTTCTGGAGTTCTACTTTCTGCAACCGACTCATTACCAGCCCTTGACTTAGGCCCCTGGGAGAACCTGACAGTGTAATAAATAACATAATGTCTCTGGGCTAAAACAAAAGGCGTCATGTAATTATAGAACAAACTGCATATTGTTTTCTGGAACGTGAATACTGGCTACAGAAATCAAATTTACCTCATTGGATGTAAGGAAATTACTTTAAAAAACTGATTTATAAGAAGCTACATAAAACTAAACCTGCAATCCCTCCTCTCCTGAATGTTCTCTGAGATGTGTCTGAACACTGCTATCAATGCCTGATTGCATCTCTGTAATTGTCTTTTTATGGATGGCTTTTTTTTTGGGTTCTGATGCATAGAAATGTATTAGCGAAATCAAGGTTCCTTCCAGGAGTAAACAGATGCCAGATTGGACTACTCTGTATTGATGCACATCCATCTTCGGGGAAAAGACAATTTTACTTAAAGACATGGTTTTTGCCTTTTACAAAGCTATTTCCTCACTATCTGCTCTTAATAAAGAAAGTAATTAGATGAGCTTAAGTGTCGAACAATATTTAAGCAGCGCTGAGCCGGGGGAGGCTGTCACAGTCACACCCGGGGGGTCAGGTCTCGGTAATAAGATGAGTGATTGGTGCTGAATTTTCAGTAGATAAATCTCAAATGCAGGACTCCAGGATGGCTGAGTTTAGGCTAACGATACAGTCCACGAAAGTTCGTCAACGCAGCGTTTCCCCAACTCTGCCTTCTTACGAGCAGCCCCGGCTTTCTGGGGAGGAGGGAGCACGAAGGGTCTTCCCCTGAACTGGTACCCCCGGCCCTAACATCCCCCCTGCAGCAACCCTGAACACAGTGACCGAATGCTGCGACCTGTCCCGGGAGCATCTGCACTCAGGTCAACGGCCATGTCTACCGCCCAGGCACCTGGGGATGAGAAGCCTCAAGGGCACACACACGGCACCCACGTGGGCACACGAGCCCTCCACCCCTGGCACGCTGCAGGCGCCCAGCTGACCTCGCTGGGGTTTCGCGCCTGCCACTTCCTTCCAGCCCTCACGGGACAGCGGTGCCGCTCTGCGAGGCCTTGCAGAACCAGTCTTCCTGCTCAGAGTCCGCTCAGAAAGGAAGACCTGGCAGTGCGACTTAATTGCTAAGGAGCCACTGAGCCCCAGGAACAGCCTTGTTCTGGGGAGCACACCGCAGAGTGTGTCCTGCTGTCCAGGCCCAGGCCCAGGCCCAGGCATGGGGCTGCAGGTGAGAGCGGGGGTTGCTGAGGGAGGACTTTTCTGGCATGGCAGGGGCTGTGTGGTCACTGGCTGGCTGGGGTTGATGTGGTCACTCGTCAGTGTCCATCACTGTCT